TCTCAGTTTGTACTCATTGGTTTACGTGACAGTCAAAGTCACCATCTTTGTTTATACGAGTCCCATATCACAGCATATACATGTATGGTGACTAGAGTCCCATATCACAGCATATACATGTATGGTGACTACTGCCATTTAAGCTTTAAATAGTATTACCCTCGGTAAATGGAGTAAGTTAACTTTGTATCTACTCCATTGTTTTAATAAGGAAAATATTTTTAATCATAATTACCATTGTAAATGTGCATAGAATCAATTATTCTTTTAGTTTTAATTCATCAAAGATGCAATATGGGTGAGACATAATATTTTAATACTGCTGTTTGACACTGCATGTTGCTGAATGAAATAAAACATTGTTCTTATAACATGCTAACTCTGATATGAACCACAAAAATCTTCATCTCTAATATATGTGTACTGAATGTTTTGATACATACAATGACGATCACTGCTCATGCCTACTATAAGCATTATTTTTAGTTGACGGTAATAATCAAATTTGTCCTTAACATGCCATATCAAACAGCAATATTATATACAGTCATGTAAATACATGTTTTTGTCCATATTTTGTTTATCACACTTCTCTGATAAATAACCGCATACCACCATGTTTTTTTAATTTAATTTTGCTTCTATATGAATGTAGGTATAAGTGATGCAGATCCATGGTGTAAATATGCACCATCACCAGATCCTAGACTATTGTTTGTCATCAATACCGGTACATTATCCTCTCCACATGTTCAGGTAACAGTAACAATAACTTCTATTTTTGTGGGAATTGTAAACTTATAATATAAAAATATAGATCAAATCACACAGGGAATCAATCATTCTGTTGATCACATTCAATTGACATACAGTGCATCAATATTGTCAGACCTGACGTCTTGACATAACACATCCATGTATATTTACATTGTAGGTATTGAATCCTGAGAATCTAAATGAGCAGTTATCTAATGCAATGCTCACATATCTTAATTCTAATATATCAGTGGATATTAGTAAATATGAGGTAATGTATATTACATGTATTTGTGATCAGTCTACTTTTGTATATTAAAGATACAGTGGTTTAATTAGGGAATTAAGATTGTGCAGGTGTGACAATACATCTGTAGAGGATGAACTTGATTTTGTATTGGTGTTTTTTGTATGATGAACTACGGAAAAAATACATCCAAATAATATAAGATATTAATAATTGTTCTCCAGTAAAAAAATATTTTGCATAGTGTTAGCAAATTTTTGTTTCTGGCTTTCAAGCAAAGAAATGAGAAATAGCTTTGTTTTGTTATTATTATAATAGTTATTATTATTAAAATATAACTGATAATCAAGATAGTCTTTCGCGTATTCAGTAGTTTTGTACACAGCGAAAGCACATTGTTATCTTCCCCAGTCAGATATTTCGAATGGAAACCAGATTTTCACCCATATCATGCTTAAACTGTTAATGTATGCCAACAAAAATCTAAATAATTAGATAAACATTGCAAAGATAATAAATAATTGCTTCTCTATGTTCTCTCAGGTTACTATTCCACAACTTCTAGATATGTATAGTAGAGATTTTGTTACTATTGATGAAAATGAGGATAGTGCAAACTACGAAGGACTGCTGACTTTCATATTACCATACACATCAGAGGAACTGAGTGACAAATTAAGGAATTTGATACACAGTAGTACTGCTAGACAGTTTGAGTATAAATGGAGTCCAAAGTTACCTAAAAGTAGTCTATTCTCTTCTGGTAAGTAACCAGAATATTCATATATTGGCCTGAACACTGCCATGTGTGAAATCACTGTACCTTGTATGGGACAACTGTACCCTATAAGGGAACACTGCCCTTTGTGGGACCACTGTACCTTTTATTGGAACACTGTGCCCTGTGTATGTGGGACCACTGCACCCTTTATTGGAACACTGTGCCCTGTGTGCGTGAGACCACTATACCCTTTATGGGACCACTATACCCTTTATGGGAACACTGTGCCTTGTGTGGAATCACTATACCCTTTATGGGGAACACTGTGCCCGTGTGGAACCACTATACCCTTTATGGGGACACTGTGCCTTGTGTGGGACCACTGTACCCTTTATTGGAACACTGTGCCCTGTGTGGGACCACTATACCCTTTATGGGGAGCCCTGTGTGGGACCATTGTACCCTTTATGGGGAACACTGCCCATGTGGGACCACTGTACCCTTTATTGGAACACTGTGCCCTGTGTGGGACCACTATACCCTTTATGGGGAACACTGTGCCCGTGTGGGACCACTATACCCTTTATGGGGACACTGTGCCTTGTGTGGGACCACTGTACCCTTTATTGGAACACTGTGCCCTGTGTGGGACCACTGTACCCTTTATTGGAACACTGTGCCCTGTGTGGGACCACTGTACCCTTTATGGGGAACACTGTGCCTGTGTGGGACCACTATACCCTTTATGGGAACACTGTGCCCTGTGTGGGACCACTATACCCTTTATGGGGAACACTGTGCCCGTGTGGGACCACTATACCCTTTATGGGAACACTGTGCCCGTGTGGGACCACTGTACCCTTTATTGGAACACTGCCCTGTGTGGGACCACTATACCCTTTATGGGGAACACTGTGCCCGTGTGGGACCACTATACCCTTTATGGGGACACTGTGCCTTGTGTGGGATAACTGTACCCTTTATTGGAACACTGTGCCATGTGTTGGACCACTATACCCTTTATGGAAACACTGTGCCCTGTGTGGGACCACTATACCTATTATGGGGACACTGTGCCCTGTGTGGGACCACTGTACCCTTTATTGGCACTGTGCCCTGTGTGGGTCTGCTGTATTGTGTTTGGGATCACTGTACCCTTTGCAGGACCACTTACATGTATACCCTGAGTGGAAACACTGTACTCTAACCATAGATATACTTGTGTTGCATACTAAAACTGATGCAAAGTTGTTGCAATTTTAGAGTAAGACAAATAAGCAATTAGTATTAACACCAAGGATTTATAAGATGAGGGTATGCAAGTAGGCTGTGATACGTGATGAAGCTCTCATACAAATTGAAGAAGTCATACAAATTGCAAGATGGTCACAGAATCCCAAGAAAAAGCTACATTTCTAAAAATCATAATACAAATTATTGAGTCTTTGAAAGAACTGAGTCGTGTTCATCTCACATCATTTTGATAATAAGTGTTCTTGCTTATTTACAAAATGTGTAATAGGTATGTTTTGCATTTTTTTAATTGAACGATAATCCCACTCAATTCTTTTTACACAATCAAATATTTATAAGTACCCACTACATTTTGTGTTATGATTGGTTAGCTCTGTGTTTGATTGATGCACACTGAATGTGATCACTTTCGGAAGCTTTCAAATCGCAAGAATTTGCTTTTCATGAGATCTTCACCTAATATCACCATACATGGTTATGAAAGTTACATACCCTTGTCATATAACTCCTTGATATACAGTCTAAGTTTTCATTTTGAATATCTGTATTAATTTAATATTTCTGTTCTTAGGTACACTTCCAGCTAAGTCTGAAAAGCCCATGTCATTCCAAGTAAAGATATCACCGTATAACTACCAGTATGGGTACTCATTCAGTGAGAATGAAAATGATAAACCATTCAACCAGAGTGGTCACAGGAGGCATTCATCACTCCCAAGGAATCTATCACCATTCACAGTACCTGCCAGTAACAGCTCATCTAGTGCAATCTATGCCATGACGGAACATGCTTTCAACTATTTGAAAAACAAATCAGATCTCTTTGCATCACTGGTTTTTCTGCTGTCCCCAGTTGAGCTGGGGAATGAAAGTCCAAGTAAAGACAAATCGAAAGACTCAAAAGTGCAATATAATCTTGAGAAGGTGCTAGCCAAGCTAGAGAGGTACCCCGTATTACAACGATATGTACAGAGAAATCTAGCTGTGTTGAAGGATGGGGAAAGGTCTAAAATGTTTTCAGAGGTTCGAAAGAGAGATTTAGGGAAGTGTATATTGTCTGGTATGGATAGCCGTGAGATGCAATCATTGGTACACTACACATTAAATACTATAATGTGTAATAAAAATTGGGAGGATGCAGTCAACCTGTTAGACTCTCTGTACTCTGATAATTTACATCATTCTGCTGATACAACCCTCATGAGAGACTTGTTTCTGTGCTGTGCTGGTACAGATGATTCAACCAATAAAGAGACACCATGGAAATATTTATTGAGAATTACTGATAGGGACCTGTATTCTCGTCTTGTATTGGTGTGTTTAAAACAGTGGCCGATCGATGTATGTATTGAGTTGCTAGAAAAGGCTTTAGCATATCCACCAGTGAATAAATCTTTGGAGGTGGTTGTTGACAACAAATTGAAAGAGATGAAAATTTATCAAAAGGTATATGCAATTAATTTATTTCTCATCTTCCAAAAGTTTTGTTTTAATTTAAAAGAATTTGTCAAATTCAAAATGAAATGTCCACTGCTACAATAGTCACTGTGACTCACTGTCCTAAAGTTCCCAATTAAATATTTGCTGCTACAAAAGTCATTGTGACTCACTTTCCTAAAGATCCTAATGACTCACTGTCCTAACGTTTTCACCACCAGTTCCTTCTTTTCATCATAAATTCACAAAATAGTCCTGTTTATAGTCTGCATTTCCTTCAAAAGATTGGGACAACGTAGCCAAATTTTTTGAGTAAAAACTAAAGATTGACTCAAATTTTGTCTGTTGGCTCCAAGAAGAATATGAGAAAAAAAAGTGCAGAACAATTTGAACAAGAAAGTCTGGTGGTGAATCCGAACTGTTCACTGCTCATTGTGACTCAGGTGACTGAAGGTGTATATAATGCCTAACTGTGTATTTACTTTAAATGTTAAGGTTACAGAATGTGCTGGAAGAATAGAAACAAACAGTCCATGTACAGAGTGGCAATTTGTTGCTATGGAGATCAAGAATAATCCAGACAGGATCATAGATGTTCTACTAAATGCTGAAGAATTTGATGATGCTAGAAAATGGACACAGTATTATCCAGTACCAAACAGTTTGAAACAGGTACATTATTATTATGCAATGATTGTGTTTTTATGGGAATATACAGACATGTTAATGTGCTTAATTTATCAACATACATCATAGTTCACACATTGTATGGCATACACCATAGTTCACACATTGTATGGCTTATACTATAGTTCACACATTGTATGGCATATACAATAGTTCACACATTGTATGGCATACACCATAGTTCACATATTGTATGGCATACACTGTACAGTAGCTCACACATTGTATAGCATACACCATAGTTCACACATTGTATGGCATACACCATAGTTCACACATTGTATGGCTTATACTATAGTTCACACATTGTATGGCATATACAGTAGTTCACACATTGTATGGCATACACCATAGTTCACACATTGTATGGCTTATACTATAGTTCACACATTGTATGGCATATACAATAGTTCACACATTGTATGGCATACACCATAGTTCACATATTGTATGGCATACACTGTACAGTAGCTCACACATTGTATGGCATATACAGTAGTTCACACATCGTATGGCATATACAATAGTTCACACATTGTATGGCATACACCATAGTTCACATATTGTATGG